CCCTGTGCGCGCCCGGACGCCTCGGTCCACTGCACGGAGCCTGGCCGTGCGCCCCTGGGCGCCCTCACTGCCCCAGGCCCTGGAGGGTCGCAGCCATGAGCGAAATGTCCAGCTTTCTTCACATCGGGGATATCGTTTCCCTGTACGCCGAGGGCTCCGTCAATGGCTTCATCAGCACTTTGGGGTGAGTGAGCCGTGCTCAAAGGGGGCGCAGGCGGGGAGGGGGCGCCTTGGGCCCTGGTGCCAGCTGCGTGCGTCCTGCCACCGCCGCCCGCCGACAAAGGACCTGGACGTTCCCAGCCTCAGGGAGCGGGGGAACTGCTCGCCTCCTTTTAGAGAAAGGAAGTGAAATGTTTGCTCAGGTAGGAGTCGGGCGCCCTGCTGGAGTTGGCAGGAGGCGCCCTTCTCGGGGAAGCCTCTACCTTCCCGCGGGCGCCTTTCTTCAGACAGGGCGGAGGGACCGAGACTTCCTCTGCAGGTGGTCCCCAGAGTGGGCAGGTGGGTGGCTGGGGCCTGAGGTGGGGAAGGGCATCCGGGCCGGGATTTGCCCGGTTCTGGGGGTGGGCGGAGCTGTGGGGGGTGGGCAGGATCAGACTGGAGCCTGGAATCCTCTAGTTACCGATCCTGTGGCGCCTTTGAGGGGTCGTCCCTTCTCTTCACAGCTCTCTCCCTGTCCCGCCCCCTTCAGTAGGAGTGTCTTCTCAGCCCTCCCCTATCAACCGTCCCAGGTCCTGGCTGACTGCCCCCCTTATCCCCGCCTCTCTCTCCCCGTCAATTTCCTGCCCGGCTCATCTGGCGCCCCTGGGTCCCTGGCCCCAGGTTCTCTCCAGCACTTTACAAACATTAATTAATTCTAGCCGCCACCCCCCAGAGTCTGGGCTGAATAAACAGGGAATCAATTCCTGTCCCTGGAGAGGGCTGGGCCTGTAGCAGGGATAGGGCAGGAGAGGAATAGGGCAGGAGAGGAATCGGGCAGAGAGGAGCAGTTGGGGGTGGGTGGGTGCGTAGAGTGGTTTCTCCAGCTCTCCAGCAGGCCTTTGTCATATTCTCAGTCTGGGGCCTGTGTTAAAGTGTTTCATCCTCCATCCAGCCACACCCAGCTGCCCTTTAGGGTAAACCCATCCCTCTCTGCTGACTCCACTCAGCTGGGCTGGACACCAGCCAGCCATGTGGGGGCCTCCTCTCTGGGGGCTTTAGAGGACAGCCCTGACACCCTCAGCCTGCGGCCGACTCTGGGCTGGGCCTGGCTCACCCTGAGCCTGGGAGGTTGTAGTCACCTGGCTCCCTTGGTCTCGCCCAGGGTTGTTGGGAGTTTAGCTTTAATCCTGCTGGAAAGGGAATTGGTTGTGGGGGGTGGAGGGCAGGCTCTACCAGCAGGGGATTCTGACTGGGAATTCCAGCTTACTCTGCTCACCTTATCTCAGCACCCTCCAGGCCTCTCTGCTTCCCCTCCCCATTCAGGTGTGGAATCCTTGGCCACTTGTCCCACATCCCCCACTAGATCTGACTTCTCCTGCCCAGTTCCCCAGAGGTTGGGATTGGAGCCAGTTCTGGGCCAGCATCTGTGCAGGCTTCTCCCAGAGAGCAATGGCTGGGCCTGGCTGCCCTGAGGCCAGGACATGCACATAGTAGGTACACAGTAGAGTTAATGTATCTGATAATGTCGAGGGAAGGCAGAGAGCGTGTGGGACTGTGGGGATGTGGAGGCTGATGGTGGAAGCCCTCCCCCCAGTGTCTGAACAGCATTGGGGACTTTTGGGAAGTGAACATCTCCTCTGTTGCTTAGTGCCTGGTTCAGGGCCGAGCAGGCTGATGGTGGAAGCCCTCCCCCCAGTGTCTGAACAGCATTGGGGACTTTTGGGAAGTGACCATCTCCTCTGTTGCTTAGTGCCTGGTTCAGGGCCGAGTACACAGTAGGTGGTTTATAAGCACCTGTGAAATTTAACAGTATCAGAGAAAACATCTTATTCCCCCTGCCCTCAGGCAGGCCTCATTCCCTCACAAGAGATTCCCTCTGTTGCCTCCTGACATAACTTCCTCCCACCCTGGTCCTTCCTGCTTCCTCCAGCTTGATCCTGGGGCAGGTCCTGGTGACCTCTGAGAGTGCCCTTCTACCCCAGGGTACCCCTTCCCTCTGCAAAGGCCTCCAATATCTCCTGACTTTCCACTGATGGACACCCACCCTCCCTGGCATTCTGGCACCTGCATGTGCAGGCCCCAACTTAATTTTCTGGGTTTTCCTCACCTCCCCCTTCATACATCTGAAGCTCCAGGTGCACTACGCTACTCCCTGTTCCTGGAACCTGTTCCACACTCTCAGTCTCTTTACCTTTGCTCCAGGGTTGCTCTTGCCCTTCAGCCAGTCTCCACCTAGGTAAATCTGTCCCACCCTCTAAGACCTAGTGCAAAATGGCCTCTTTTGTGAGATCCAGCTCCCCCAACCCCACCCGGGGCAGAATTAACCCTTTTTTCTCTATGCTTTTGAATTGCTCTCTGGTGCTAATCACTTTGTTGGGGTTTCCCTGTAGGCCCATCTAATGCTGAGCACTTTGCCAGTATTAACTAATTAATTACACCATTTATATATTCAGCACATCCACAGGCACTGTACTGGGTGCTGGGGACTTGGTGGTGAACAAGGGAGCTGTGCTTGCAGTCTTCTTAGAACTTAGAGTCAATGAAGAATGATTTTGTAAGTGCTGGAAGTCATGGCTATTCAAAGTGTAGTCCTCAGCCCAGCAGCTTCAGCATCACCTAGAAACTTGTTAGAAATACAGAACCGCAGACCCCAGGCCTAGTCCTACTGGATCAAATCTACATTTTAATAAGATCCCCAGGGGGTTGGTGCCTTAAGGTGTGTGAAGCGTTGCTCTAAGTGATTCTCTCTCTGCTGCATCCTTCCTGGAACCTTGCTGCCTCCATTCTCAATTCTGGTCCCCTCCACCTTTCCTGTGGTTGTTGGTGCCCATATCTGTACTCTGGAGGCTGATTTGACTGAGTTCTGAGGCTAGCCCAGTGCTCAGTGCCTGGTGTTCAGGAGGTACCTAGTAAGGCTAGACGAAATGAATTTGTTGATGAAAGGGGCAGCCTTGGTGGGCAGAGGGGTTGGGTCAGTTGGGAGATGGGAAGGGGGGCATTGGTAAGGGAGAGAGGCCGAGGCAGCCTTCAGATTATGGCCAGAGCTCTTCAGGACAAAGTGGAGGAGGCCTATTAGAGCCTCCTAATTAGTTAGAGCTCCTGGTGTAGATTGTACATTAACTCTGGGGTGGAAGGGTGGGAGGGGTCTGGGGAAGAGTGGATCCTGGGGCGGGTTGAGACTGCCAGCCAGCAAGGGAAAGCAGGGCCATGCCAGTTCTTAGCAGGAAAGAAAGGGAGGAAAGTGTGGCCAGTGCACTGCCTTGCCCCTCATTCTTCTCCCCAGGTGGGCGAGAGGCAGCAGAGGCCAGGTCTGGAGCAGCTGCTCAGGGCCAGCAAAATGGGGAGGATTTCATGTGGCTTCAAGCCAGTGGCTGGGGACAACTGGCATAGGTATGCAGGGTGGACCCTTCAGGATCTCATGTCTAATTCCTTGAAGATTACTCTTGAGTGCCCGGAGGATTACCCCCCGATTCACAAGGAGTCAGTTGAGGGATTGCAGGTGAACTGGATCTTTTTTTTTAAACTGGATCTTGAAGTTGAGCTCCCATCATTTGTCACAGTGCCTCTGCCACCTATGGTTGTGCTTTGGAGCACCATTTGGGGGCTCTTAGGACCTCTACACCTGGATCACCCAGGGCTGGAGGGGTCACAGTGAGAAGGGTGAGACCTGGAGGGAATCTTTAAAAAAAATTCCAGCTCCCAAGCCCCATGCCAGACCAATTGTATCAACATCTCTAAGGGTGGGTCTGGATTTTTTAAAAGCTCCCTAGGTGATTTTTTTTTTTTTGTCCTTTTTGTGACCTTTAAGGGGATCACGACCCTTGGTGCGGTGTCACCTGCACCGCGCTCAGCCAGTGAGCGCACCGGCCATCCCCACATAGGATCCGAACCCGCGGCAGGAGGGCCGCTGCGCTCACAAGCGCTGCACTCTCCCGAGTGTGCCATGGGGCCGGCCCCCTAGGTGATTTTAATATGTACTCGGGGCTTAGATTTGAGTGCTCTCTGGGGCTGTGAGGAATCCTGACTGCTGGGTCTGCCTGCTCTTGGGCTTAGAGAGCCCATCCCTGCTCTTGTCAGACTTCATTAAGCCATTCAACAAACATTTATTGAGCACCTACTATGTGCCAGGCACTGTTTTAGTAATGATCAAGACAGAGATCCATCTTGTTCCATTCCGTGCAGTAAGGAGCTGGGAGAGATGATCTGTACAGGTCCTTTGAGTCTTAAGACTCTGAGACACATGTAATTCCAGGAGGGGGGACTTTTCCTCCCATGCTGATCACGTTCCTCAGGCAGATTTCGGACCTGCCTTGGCTTTCATTTAATTGTGATTTCACTGGAATGAGATGTTAGACTTCTGTTCTGTACCCCAAGGCAGGGTTTTGGCCTCAGCTAGCCCAATCCATGCGACTCATTTTTGGAAAATATATTTTTTCTGATTGAAAAATAACATATGTTCCATGGAGAAAACTTGAAAAACTCAAATAAAAAAATTATCTGTATTACCACTGTGACTTGCATTTTCATTCTGTATAGACCTTCTAGCCTTTTATGTACTCAAATAAATATTTATAAATGATATCAAACTGCACATATGGCTTCATATCCTGTCCTTTTTTGGATACAATAAGCTGTATTTTCCCATGCCAACACATCATTGTTATGGCTACATAGCATCCCATGGTTGGATGTACCTTAACTTATTAAAGCAACTCCAGAATTCAGCATTCAGGCTGTTTCTAAATTTTTGCTGTTATAAACAATTTGCCCCAAACTTCCTAGTCCATACACGCCTGAACACTTGTCCAGTTATCCTCTCCGGATAAATTCCCAGAAATAGAGATCAAAGGTGGTGGAGGGGTGTGGAAACGGAACTCTGTGCCACAGAAGGTCTGACTTGCTTCATGTCATGTGTTTGTGAATGTCACAGCAGGATGCAGAACCAGCCTCCACCCTTAAGATTGGACATGGTGGAGGTCCTAGGCAGTCCCAGGCAGGGCAAGGATGTGATGGGAAGGGGGGGACGTGGATAGAGGGGCAGTGTGG